TTCCACGGCCATGTGACATTCTCCAGGATCTTTTTAGAGATTTCCCACGGCGAATATGGCATATCGCGTCTCCGGTTGCCATGTCCGCCCAGATGTAGGGACTGGGTAGTTCCCAAGCCCAATTGTCTGATAAAGTTCATTATTGACGTGACGGTAATGTATCGAAAGAACTGCCCTAGAAACAGGATTTGGTCACCCACTTTCTGCGATATCCTACGCTCTTGCCAAGATACGCAATTTTGATCGGGAATATTAGTGATACAACAATCAATTTATCAAAGTTAACTTCTACCTAAATCCAAATTGTGAAGTTGGGTCGTAAATCCTAATAGACCTGCCAGAATTACAGCCAACACAGACCTTTGTATAGACCCATAGTGACATGTTGTGAACATGATCCAAATGACGTCAAAGGCAGGTCTGCATGACAAATAGTTTCAGTATTTCACCCCTTTGTCTATGCCCGTCCCAGTGCATATGTGGACAGATACACACATAGGCATTGCCGTTGATTGAAATAACCTAAATATCAATTCATCACGGCATATTTCTGAAAATAAGCGTAATTTCTTTCGATATGAATTGCATTCCCCTCGCTGTCTCAAATTTACAAACCCTCTAAGCCCTCTGCATTTCACACAGATGACAGTTTGGGGATATCTTGACGAGTTCCCCTGAACTGGCACAACCTCGCCCTGGCAACTCCGCAAAGGTCACAATATGCCATTTTCAAGCAGCCGGTCCCTGGCCGCACCAGACGTGACACGCAAGTTGGGAATGCTCACCTGAACTTGTTAATGGCGTACTCCCCGAGCTCGTAGAACTTTATCTCCTCGGAGAAGACGTCCAGTGGCACATTGACAGGCCTCCGTAGGCGTCCCCCACTCTGGTAATAGTAGAGGATGGCGTCGAAACTGCAACATCAGGGTGCCGACATCAGACGTCGCTCTCGATCAGTCGCTCTCCATCAGACTCCGCGTAGGCGGGCCCTCGCCGCGGAGGCGGAGGTACACGTCGAGTTGTCACTTGCGAGTTGAAAAATAGTTGGCTGGGACAGAGAACATATGAGTTCAGTGATGGTTATACTGATAGTTCAAAGCGAACCGGGTAAACTTTTAAAAAGAAAGCTGGCCATGAACCAGGGCCCCCGCCCTGATTCGCCGTTTTTCTTAACGCATACGATAGAAGGTCGATCGATCTCCTCTCGTTTCCGAGCTTAAAAAGATAGGGCTTGGCGGAAAACATCAGTAGATTGATATTGACGGGATTGCACGATTGGAAGGCATTTTGCGTCGCCGTATCAATAATTGACCCCGTTATGTCGGGTCAGGGAACAAACTTCCCGAAAATCCAAGTTTTTGCAGTTTTACATGCTCATATGTACAAGATCATGTTTTGCAGACACAAACAATAAACGTGCGCGCCTCTTGTCCGAGTCAGAGTAGAACAGTGTATAGCTTTATGTGTTCTGAGCACATATTTATGATGTATGGCTTCCTTATGTCGGCCCACCGTCCGCGCTGGCTGCATATCGCCGCGCAGTGTTCCTCAAAAACCTCTGCTGCTCCGAAACCGGAAAGGGTAGGGTCACGTTTTGGGTGTCAAAATACGCACCATGGGTACTCAAAGGCAACTTGGAATTTGGGCGCGGTTGCAGCAAATGCCAGAGGAATATCCCCAGACACTCTTGGGGAGGGGTCGTGTCATTCCCGGGCGTCAGTACCCGGAGGATTAAACAACTGTCGTGGATGGTGCTTAGGTCAAAACGCTGGCTAGATGCACCACATCACAAATATGTTGGCACCCCTAACGAACGACTAATTAACAAACGATATTTGACGAAAAATTAGAAGTGCTGTACAATGCAGTGTCGTTCCCATTCCCTTTTCAGCCTCCTACGAAGTTCGATGCGTAGCCATTTCTAAAGACTTGATAAATTTGTAGGACTTGTTCGAAGCCTGGACTCGGAATGCTAAACACCGAAGCATATTGCAACGCGGCACATCAAAGGCAGGCGCATTGGCGGCGCGGTTAACTACGGAAATATCAAAGGCTATCTGCCACTGACTTCGAATAGACCGCCAACTCCTGGATGTGAGGGGCTCAATCAAGGACGCTTTCAGGCAAATGTCAAATATGGCGAGAACTTCAGCTTTTGACCGAAAACCTCTCCTTAACCATCATGTCACTGAATGCTTATTCAAGCAACCAATCAGTTGATGACCGACCAACACATGAATAGCTTTTCAACGTGACAAAATTCCACAGGGGAGAAAGACATCAAACGATCTTGCCCAGCAGCCAGCAATGCGCTCGTGCATGAAAGTCGCGTAATTATATAATACAATGATGGCGGCGCTGTGAACGGTAGAGGCCGCCTTACGAAACCATCACAGCTTAATGACAGGAAGTAAAAATAAACTAAGCAAGGAGAAAAAGAAGCCTGCGGATATGGACGGGCAAGCGTGAGCTGACAGTTAAAGAACAAGCGGGTTATGTGAGCGCAGCTGAGATGATGATAGGACAGATGATGAAGATTGCGTGAAGAACTTGACAAAGGCGGAACGCACAGCACGAACGAAGATGGAGCAAAAGTGCGCCGCTGACGGAAATCCAGCCGGGAGGATGGCGCCCTTTCGCGAAGACAATCTGGGATCGGCGCGAGCTGGTCTGATCCGTCAGCCCGCTGCCCGGTCTGACGACCAGAGCCTTCCGAGCACTTGGTCCCCGTGCTCGCCCCCGACCGGCAATGTCGCCGACCCGCTCCAGGTTGGGAGAGCTCGGTCCAACAGCCCCGTCCCGCCCGCGGCCGTCGACTCAGCCCGCTGGCGCTCGGCGCGCCGACAGCAGCACGGCCGCCTCGCCACATTAATCACACCGTATGCTTAATTTTCCGGCGGGTGTGCCGGGTGCCGAGCCGGCCAATCGGCCGGGACGGCGCAGCTGGCGCGGCCGGAGCTGGAAAACAGAGTCAGGGCCGCCCGGGCGCCGCGCGTCCGGACGGGAGGGCGACGCCGCGGCGCAGGCGAGACCAAACACGGGGAACGCTGCGCGGGGGCGGACGTGTTGACGCACACAGGCGTGTTCGGGATCAGCACGCGAGCAGGTTTTCCGCCAGCCCTCTGCCTGTGTTCCCGGGAGCTGCCACCCGAACCATCTGCCCGAACTGGTCACTTTGCATTTGACCCCCGGCGCCCAGGCGTCACCGCCCGGTTGACAGGTCCTGACCCGGTGACCCCGGGCGATACTGCTGACTGCCGGGAAATGGGGTCTGCTCGCCGAGTTGCTAACGACCTGGGGTCTTTGGCTGGCCTGTCACTGCGGATTGTGTCGGCCGGAGACTGCTGATTCACTGAGCTCGACCTCGGGCCCCGCCGACCTCTGACTCTGAACAACTTTTAATCTGGCTCGAGTATTTCGGTTCCCAGTCGGCCGCTGTAACTTCCGCTTCCACGTCATGGGCCACGTCCGAACCGTAAAGCGTGACAGAAAGTTACAGCCATGGACGGTCACCATGCTGGAGCTGGTGACAGGCCTCCGATGCGGAAGACATTCATTCGTGGTGAAACCGTGTGCGTCTTTGGCTTCCTACTTCGGCAGGGTAAGAGACAGTACAAATAATCTAAAGAAAAGGGAAGGGGAACATTTATGCCTGAGTTGCGGTTATGTCGGGTTTAAAAAAGTCAGCTTTGGGGCTGGTTCGCTGCGCTGGGAACTGGTCTGGGCATTATTCAGCACCGCAAAAATGTTTTCTAAGCATGACGATCCGATCGTCTCCAGCGTCAATTACAGCATACATGTATATATATATATATATATATATATATATATATATATATATGAATATATAATTCAAGAAGCCACTGTTTAGTCTTAGATCGTAAGCGCTACTTAATGCACCCAGGTACATGCGCGACCTCTTTTGACAAGGCAGGATTATATCAAATGATGTATTCCACTGCGCATGTGGACACTGAACAGTGAAAATGATACCATGTGTTTTCATTAACAGTTGTTGAAAGACGCACTTGTGCCTGTGCCTGTCCCTATTGTGCCTACGTTACTTAATTCTGGATCAGACGAAAATAAGTTAAGGATGACATAGTGCTTGTACAATGTAAGACATGACAGGTATTAAAAGGGAATTAAGAAAACTTCCTTGCAATAACGCTTGCGAGCCAAACAATACAACTTGCTTAACGAATATCACGTTTATAATCATTGTAAAAAGGCCATCTCAATTCCCTTTTCATACTTGAAAACAAGTTAAATTGAGGATTGGTTATTACGTGAGATCGACGAAGGGGATTTTATTTCGGGACTGCCATATTTGAAACGGAGTCGACCAGAAGTGTGTAGTTGCATACATACATGCTCATACATGCGCATCCCACTCATGCAAATGATCGGCGGCTGGCAGTCCAAAGCTGTGAGCCTAGCCACACAGCTCACCTGGTTCGGTTCCTATCGAAGAAGTACTCGTTCCTGAGCGGGTCAAAGTAGCGGATCCTCCTGGCCGGATCGCCGAGCAGCGTGTCTGGAAACTGGTTGAGCGTCCTCAGCTGGGTCTCGAACCGCAGTCCGCTCACCTGTGAAGCGCAAGGTATGTCCGGGTCTCAACCTCAGCGCGCTGGCCATGCGGTCAGCGCTCAGGTGTGCGAAACACGGCTGAGCGCCGGGCGCAGGACCGACAACCAAAATCCAAACCACTGGCAGACCCTCAAACTTGCAGTTAAAGATATGCGCTCTCCCTTCGAGCTGAGCATGGCGAACCTAGTGTACCTGACGAGCCGGGACCCAGCTTCGAATTTGCATTGTTGCTCAGGTCCACGCAAAGCAATGTCGCTCCGTTGGCCCTGATCCCACCACCCGGTTGTGAAATTCCGAGTCAGCGGCAGCATTTTGTGGTGAAAGCTCAACGTGCTGAACGTTCAACAGTAGGCATCCTTCTCCCTGATGCCACCTGACTTTTAGCGCGTGCGGTGCCATGGGCCGCTGGGCATCCCAGTCGGGAGCGAATGGTGAGCACCTAAAGCGACTCGAACCCACCACGCCACGCGTAAGTGAATAGCCAGGTAGACTCTCCAATCGCATGAGCTGTCGGAACGGACATTCAGCTGTCTTAGCTGCATTCAGTAGCTTTATAGTTGGTCACAATCATTGGCCGTAATGCCAAACGCACTTTCAATGCGGGCTCCAAAGCATAAACCTGCCCCCTTGAGCTTCCCCCAAAAGCCAGCATCTCTTCTGGGATTAAAAAGTCAGTCCAGGAACAAAGGTCACATAAGTGGCAACGCTGATGAGATGTATTGACCCCTGGCCAACTTCATATGATATAAAGCATACGAATCCAACTTATTTAAAGACGCAATTCACGGGAAAGGGTCGTTAAGACCATTTGTAGTTTACTAAGTCGACGCCAATAAACTTGTTTCCTGATCCAAACGTGGCCGAAAATGACCTCCCAACGAGGAAGGCCATAATTTGCCACCAACGGAGAATCCTTGGATCCGCCAAATAGCATCGTTGACCTCAGCAAAACCACGATAGCGTGAATGGCCCCTTATGACATGGAAATAAAGATCGAGTTCCGAGGGCAGATCTAATCAAATGACGCGCTCAATGGCGGCGTCCGGTGGAAAGGTCAAACGGAGCCGATAAAGGTCAAACCTCAGGCGCGCTTCAGAGAGACGACAGGCGGTCTGGCGTCCCCCTCAACGCGACCGGCCGATAAACGGGCCGGCACAGCAGGGCGAGGTCGCCTCTAAACACGGACAGCACACTGATCCACATTCACCAGGCGAAATCGGTAACGCCGGTGAGCTTCGCAGAAGGGCTGGTGTTTAAAGGCAGGAATGGGTCAATGTTAAACTCGGATTGTGAGGTATTCATGATAACTCACAACCTGTCGGTGAGCGTAAGTGGACATTTGTGGTGCGCTTGCTTAGACGGCCGCGATGTAAAAGTACACAGCTTCATAAACTTCCCTTTTGAAGCCAGACTCCGTTGATAACGTTATCAATATGCGTAAGTGCGTAATTAAATAGATGGATAGTGTGTGTGAGAGAAGAGAGAGAGAGAGAGAGAGCGAGAGAGAGAGAGAGAGAGAGAGAGAGAGAGAGAGAGAGAGAGAGAGAGAGGAGAGAGAGAGAGAGAGAGAGAGAGAGAGAGAGAGAGAGAGAGAGAGAGAGAGGGAGAAGAGAGAGAGAGAAGAGAGATAGACAGAGAGAAATAGAATCCACTTATGTACTTATAACATAGAATATATATATAGTATAATATATATAGATAATATATATATATACTATATATATATACATATATGGATAATTGGAAAGATAAGTAGATGAATCTACAGCTCGAAATATTGAATAGACAGACATCATCGGCATAACGACATACGCTCACACCTTGGCAAGGTTTGCCTAAAATTAGCGATGAGTTTTGGTGCGTGCTGAAACAGAACCCTAGTAGTTGATCGCCTGAAACATTAATCGATAGATACTTAAAACTTTGCGGAAGCAGAGTTAATTAGATCTGCCCACGCAGGTCTGACATGATAACAATGCTCGAGGTGATTAATCTCCCACATGATTCCACTTTTTAAAAAATGATGCTGTTCCACGACGCACTGCACGACTGTCCTAGCCACCTAGGAATAAGCAAAGAAAAGCGAAATGCCCGATTTCGCCAAAACAATTCTGTAATCTAGGGAAACTGTGATACGTAAATCGATCTCAGTATAGCGTAGATGGCTACAGTCTAGCGCCGACTGCAAGTACAAAGCGTACCTTAAAAGCGACCATCGTCCAGTTCCACCGAAATTCTTTCATCGTTTGTGTCTAGTCACAGCCACCGTAACATACTCAGGCTCGTCGCCCTTCTCCATCCTCTCCCACTGCTCTCAGCGTCATTAGTGACCCAGGACCCCTCTTGGGTGCCCCGGAGTGGCACCTGGACTCCCACCGCAGCCTGCGGCGGCAGGCGCTCTGAGATAGAATGTGTGCCTCGGGGTGACACCTGGACTCCCACCGCAGCCTGCGGCGGCAGGCGCTCTGAGACAGAATGTGTGCCCCAGGGTGGCACCTGGACTCCCATCGCAGCCTGCGGCGGCAGGCGCTCTGAGATAGAAAGCGTGCCCCGGGGGCACCTGGACTCCCACCGCAGGCGGCAGGCGCTCTGAGATAGAAAGCGTGCCCCGGGTGGCACCTGGACTCCCACCGCAGCCTGCGGCGGCAGGCGCTCTGAGACAGAATGTGTGCCTCGGGGTGACACCTGGACTCCCACCGCAGCCAGCGGCGGCAGGCGCTCTGAGACAGAATGTGTGCCTCGGGTGACACCTGGACTCCCACCGCCCTGCGGCGGCAGGCGCTCTGAGACAGAATGTGTGCCTCGGGGTGACACCTGGACTCCCACCGCAGCCCGGCGGCAGGCGCTCTGAGACAGAATGTGTCCTCGGATGACATCTGGACTCCCATCGCAGCCTGCGGCGGCAGGCGCTCTGAGACAGAATGTGTGCCTCGGGGTGACACCTGGACTCCCACCGCAGCCAGCGGCGGCAGGCGCTCTGAGACAGAATGTGTGCCTCGGGGTGACACCTGGACTCCCACCGCAGCCTGCGGCGGCAGGCGCTCTGAGACAGAATGTGTGCCTCGGGGTGACACCTTGGACTCCCACCGCAGCCTGCGCGGCAGGCGCTCTGAGACAGAACGCGTGCCACCGGGGTGAACGAAATACTCGGCTTTGGGTAAAGCATTACCCAGATGCGAGCTAGAAAACGGACCACCATTAATCACTGAACTGGGTCACCGCTCAAGCAACTTACTCGGAACGAAAAGAATTCTCGAAGCAAGCGATTCTCAGGGGCCATGCACCAGAAGTAGAAACGCTGGAATTGCTTTGTACAGGTCGCAAATAGTATATATACAAGGTGAACTGTCACGGGTTAATGAAAAATTCTGCAGGAATGAAACGTATGTAGCTAAGCAACATTAACATCGGAAAGCATTATATGTATATTATATATATATATATATATATATATTATATATAATTGATGACTTGGGAGAGCTGTGCTTGATTTTGCCTCAGCGAAATGTATTTTGACTACAACGAATGGCATATGAGTTAATACTAACTCTCACTACGCGAGGAGCACCGCAGTTTTGAGTTGGATCCATTTTCATTTTAAAAAGAAATACAGCTAGATCGCGGCGACCATCCGACGGAGTCCGTTCCGCTTGTTTAACAAATTTGGAAATATAACAGGCCATGGGCTATTTACGAGCCGCCGTGGGATGTATATGTCGCAATAAGATAGCACTAAATCTTCTGTACCACTACTGGCGCGAATACGCGGCGGTTGAGGGTGGAAAGGAAGCCTCATCTCTGGGACAAACTAAGTATCAAATCTAGCTCGTAGCATGACGGAACAAGAAAAATAAACATTGCAGCGGATCGCCATGTCAACCCGCAGCCACTGGATGAACACATGAGGCCTGTCATAAGAAGATCATCCCGCCTTTGCCTGCTTCCTCTTTCAGTCAACTCATCGACTATTCCAGCGGAATTTGCCGGCTGAGCTCCTATTCTGACTCATACAGATATAGAAAAAAATTGATCCTAGCTCGACCCAGCGATAATTTAACTTCATTTCAGAGTTGACTTCCAGTACATCCGGGTCAAGCACCAGCCTAGGAATCAGTTTTGATTGTGATGCGAGATGAAACAAACGCTAGCGCAAATGAACCGGGGGCGACTTTGGAAGCCCATGGAAATAGTGTTTGCCTCCGTGTTAACATAAGCATACACTTTTGTGAGCTTGACGTGAAAGGTGCGCTAATGTGTGGTATTGATCTATAAGTTCACAAAAGCGTAGTTTGCAAACTGGCTGGCTTTGGGCCTAACAATGCGTGTTAATTTCAGTCAACGACATCGATTAATTTTGAATGACTTAAAATTCCTGTGAATGTGAAAGGAGCACTAAAAAACGCAAACATTTTGATGGATATTGGCTATTGGATACTGGTATTGGATAAACTGGAACATTTGCCTCCGAAATTGTAACGACCAGTCAGTTTTGGATTAGGCCATAGCGTTTCTTATTTGAGATCGGGTTAAAAGTGGATAGTGTCAACAAAACAACAAAGTTTTACGCTCCCGTTTTAATGAAATGGGGAATACTAACACTTTGCTCAGCTTACCGTGCCGCAGGAAAATTATGTCTGATCACACGGTTTGCAGGGAAATGCCTACTCATTTGAGCAGGAAGCGTTTAATGAACACGATTAAGGTTTCCAATGTTAAAAACTGCATGTTGATGCAAAAGTGGTTTGCAAAGATGATACTTCTAGACGAGATTATAACGGGGCTGGCCCGCTCAAGTTCGAAATTTTCTCATCGTTTAAGCAAAACTCACCCGGTCCCGATCGTGCCCCGCCACGAGTCCCTGTCACGCAACAAGCAGAGCTGACACATGCATGAAGCATTGCGTGCCACCACATGCGCAGCGCATGCGCACGTCCAGTGCGTATACACGTTGGCACTCCTACGCACACAAGGTCCGGCGGGACTCACGTTGACACCCCCACGTACACGAGACTTATCGGTACTCACGTTGGCACTCCCACGCACACGAGACTTATCGGCACTCACGTTGGCACTCCCACGTACACGAGACTATCGGTACTTACGTTGGCACTCCCACGCACACAAGACTATCGGTACTCACGTTGGCACTCCCACGCACACGAGACTATCGGTACGCACGTTGGCACTCCCACGCACACGAGACTATCGGTACGCACGTGGCACCCCCACGCACACGAGACTATCGGTACTCACGTTGGCACTCCCACGCACACAAGACTATCGGTACTCACGTTGGCACTGCCCACGCACACGAGACTATCGGTACGCACGTTGGCTCTCCCACGCACACGAGACTATCGGTACGCACGTTGGCACTCCCACGCACACGAGACTATCGGTACGCACGTTGGCACTCCCACGCACACAAGACTATCGGTACTCACGTTGGCTCTCCCACGCACACAAGACTATCGGTACTCACGTTGGCACTCCCACGCACACGAGACTATCGGTACTCACGTTGGCACTCCCACGCACACGAGACTATCGGTACGCACGTTGGCACTCCCACGCACACAAGACTATCGGTACTCACGTTGGCTCTCCCACGCACACAAGACTATCGGTACTCACGTTGGCTCTCCCACGCACACAAGACTATCGGTACTCACGTTGGCACTCCCACGAACACAAGACTATCAGTACGCACGTTGGCACTCCCACGCACACAAGACTATCGGCACTCACGTTGGCACTCCCACGCACACAAGACTTATCGGTACTTACGTTGGCACTCCCATGCACACAAGACTTATCGGTACTTACGTTGGCACTCCCACGCACACGAGACTATCGGTACTTACGTTGGCACTCCCACGCACACAAGACTCTCGGTACGCACGTTGGCACTCCCACGCACACGAGACTTATCGACACTCACGTTGGCACTCTTACGCACACGAAACTCGTCAGGACTCACGTTGATGACGACGCGCTCGCAGAAGCCGTGCTCGTGGGGGATGGGCTCGAAGTTGCTGACTTGCACCTGGGTATGACCGCCGCCGCCGTCGTCGTCGTGCGGATTGATCTTTGGCAACGACCTGTGGAGCGGGGTCACGGTCAGGCGACGGCGCCAGGCGGCGAGCGGGCGACGCGCACAACAGCGCGACACAACAGGCGCAGACCGCCGCGCCACCGGCCGCGCCACCGGCCGCGGCGCTCGCCGCGGCGGACGCGGCCGAGCCCGCTGCCCGTGCACGCGCGGGGCCTCGTTCCTTATCAGAAAAGCCCTCCATCAGCCGCTAAAGAACGACCGCAACTTTTCAAATCAGCGAGAGCTACCACACGCTGCGGTGTTATCACCCTGATGGATGTCGGAGTTTGCATGATTATTGCCTATCCACGAGCGAGGACGCCAAGCAGTGCACGCGTTATAATTTTAATTTGTCACATTCCATCACAAAGCGCTCTCCCCAAGCGTCGACTTGGACATGCAGCGCGCGTCTTTGTCTGCCTCTCCGCGCAGCGACGGCCTGGTCGCCCGAGCCGGCCCGCTTGAGATCATCAGCACGGCTCGCTCCGTCAGTGTTCTCGGTGATGCATTCCTCTGTCCACGGAAGGAACCTGTTCCCTCTCCAGCGGGCTATTAAGCCAGTCACTTTGTGAGCGCAGCGCAGCTAATACATTCGCGTCATTAAAACGGCGCAGCGGCGTGCTGACACAGCCGGTAAATGGCGTGACGTCACTTCCACAGTTAATTGCGGCCATCTGGACTGTCGTGTGCCGTTATGGGGTCGTTTGGGCAGCGGACAGCGCGACGTCAAGTCGACCAGCGCGTTTATAGAGCCTTTCGCACTCCACACTCTGCATACGGGGCTGCATTGAAATGGGCTGAACCTTACCGCGAATGCTGACGATAGGAGCGGCGATCTGGGTCTGTAAACCCTCGACACCAGCAACACGGCGAGGATACACAACATGGGGGTACTGATGGTCTCCCAACGGGGCAATCGACAGCTCTCCGAGAGCGATGTTGCAGGCGAGGTTTGATACGATTCAAGGAGACCCTCCGTCTCCCAAAGTTACGGCCCACTCGGCGTTACATGACGTTACTAGATATTATGCGAAGTCGAACGGCAGCAAACACTTTAAAATCTGAGGAAAAGACGCGAAACTCGCCCCTTGAAAATCACTTCAGACGCATTAAAAGACAAACGCGCGCCGTACATGCACGATACCTCCCGGAGATACGCGTCTGCGCAATCCCGCCAGCCACATCACAACACAGGTAAGTGGACATATGTACGTACAGCGCATGTACGTAACGCCCGTGTTGGTAGGCAAGTGTACGGACGTAGACGTTTGTAAGGGCAAATATCGTAGCCGCTTAAGCGCGTAGCGTAATTATTCGTATCGCAGATGTTCTCGAGCAGAAATGTGCGCACCTCTTATGCACGTATTCCATTTACTCGCGTCGCAGCACAAATGTCCACACCTTTTAACGTACGCACCGCAATTCGTATCGCAGAGGTTTGCATGCGCAAATATTTTTAAGTGCCCATGCGGCTACCATTACCAAAGCCTTCCAGGCCGAGCCAACTGTGCGCAAGCGCGAACGAAATGACCCCACATAACTTTATGCATAACCAGCATGCTCCGCTTTCAGTACCTGAAATATCTGTATCACTGAGGTGATCCGATGTTTTGTGTTATTTGTAAGCTATCCAAGTTTTTTCTGTTGCGCCGTTTGCATGTCGCATATCCCGCATGAGTGTTTTCTTGTACAAACATTGGAAATACGAAAACTCGACCATGCGAACTGCTATAACGACATTGGCACTTACAAACACCTACAATTACGAGCATTCTAATTTACGAACATTTGCGCATGTGTGCATTTGCGCACGACCACATGCGTACGTCTTCATCTCACGTACATTCGTCAAGCAGTCCACCAGACCCTCACACCGGTGCAGCGCAATGTCTTCCGGGGCGGCGTTCGCTCCCATGACCTACGGCGTCGGCCACCGGCGCCGTGGAATGTGGCGCTGGCGAGGCCGGCTGGCCGGTACGTCCCTGCCGTGCTCGGCAGCCGTAGCCGCACGGCGGATGCGCCAGCCGGCTGTGGCGACGCGGCCGCGGCGTGTTTCGCCGCCGCCGCGCCGCGTTGCTCGGCACTACCTCCCATTACCGAGTAACGAGCCGGCCAGCGCGACCCTACGGCCTCTAGTCAAGCGACTGGCGGCGCTTTTGGCTCGGCTTCGACGGCCGGCCGACGACGACGACCGCGCCGCGGAGCCGGCCTTCCAGGAAGGGCTTTGTTTGAATGGTGCGTTGCGCCGATGCGGAGCCGCGGACGCGAGCGGACGAGGAAAATAGTGTTTTCCTTTGGTCTTTGGGAACGAGGAGGTAGTAGTCGATTAGCATATCATTTATGCGTCAGATTCTGCGGTAAAGATAACGAAATGGCGGGAAATGGAAAATGCCGGGAAACTTGCGCGAGAGCGTCGTAGCAAGATCGGACCATCCAATCACACCAGCCATAAGCACAAGCTTCAGATATGTTATAATCATGCCTGATGTTAATAAGATAGCTTTTTAGTCCATTTGAAGGGATACAAGCTATAATCAACGCAAATGACATCCAGCAAGCATGACTGATGTGACATAAACCATCAAGTCGGAAACCTGACCAGCAAGAGTATAAAGGCCGGTTCCCTATGACCGAGAGGCTCAGATTCTCTGACTGTCAACCCGTGTCAAGCACAACGGTCTGGATTATCCAGCGACGTGAAAGGAGGGAGTGAAATGTGTTCAAACTTTGTCGCTCCCGTGAAGAGAGAAGACACACAAACGGGAGGTGTTTTCATTTCGCAGCGTGTAAATGTTGATCAGCAGACATAAATGTTGAGCAACGAACGGGAGGAAATATTTGCAAAAATGTCGAGCATCAAGTCAGCCTAGCAAACGAAAGATCGATACCAAATGCCGGACTGGTCATATGAACTCGCCATACGGGTTCACGTCACAAAATGACTCCACACAAATATATTTTACAGAGACAGGCCTTCATACTGAACAGCCTAGACTGCACAGCGCAGGCAGCCCCCGAGCACCAGCCACGCTCCTGATATTCTGAAAAACAAACCTGTCTGAGGTCACTCTATTTCGTTCAGCACGGGGACCTTCTGACAGTCTGGGCTGGCCTGTAACAACAGTTATGGAACGAATTTTCATTTCCATTTTCCTTCAACACGTCTGGGATATTGAGCGACGCTAGTTTCAAGCACGCCGGCTTCGTCAAAATATACCGTAAACACCGGTGCTCCAACGGGAATATAACTAATGTTTGAGGACTGATCAGGCCGTTGAGATCTATGACACATGCATATCAGCCAGCTGATCACCGATCGCGAGCCAGGTAATTTGCACAAACCCTCGGGCAAAGTCGCAGACAACCGCCTGATTACCAAAACAGTACGGGGTGCGGAAGATTTAGCATTTTAGCAAAGCACCTGGGACGGCCGGCATGTGAGCCATGCCCAGCCACGTGATGCTGCAGTGTGGCGTTTGTATCCTGTTTTATGACACTCGCTGAAAGGTCGGTCACGATGAGGCCGAAGTGGAACCGTGGATGGTACTCACATGCTGGTAAACATTCGAAATATCACTCCCACGTCTCTGTTTTACACTCTGAGCCGCATTCGCTTACGTCCTAGGCAGCACATTTTGAGTCCGCGTTCACCAATGCCCTGGTCATAGAAACCGCGGTGAGGTGATGACGGAGTGCGAAATGGGCCCTGGTCAATTCGATTTTGCAAGTTTCACTTTGCCTTGAACATGTATGCTAACATCATGGTGATGCATAGGAAATATAGCCCAAAAACGGAGGCCCGATCTACCCACTTTCTGGGTGGGACTGCGCCGTTCGCCAGGGCGTCACCGGTTCGCCAGTTCGAGGGCGTTGGGAAAAGGCGTCGCCCCGCGGCTTCAGTGATACTGTGCCGCCTCGCATGGGCGTTATGCGGCGCAGTCCCAGCCTCCAGGAAAATGACCGAATCACGGAGGATGCGTGGAGAGCGCACAGACTTGCAGTTTGAGAAATACGACAAAGCCGCCTCTCGGGCTTATCTGATGAGCAGCGGGTCAGTATATTTAGCAAGATACTTCAACATGCATGCTGACTGCCAGCCCAGCGGCAAAGAACCCGGACGCCACCGCGAGACAAACCATGCATGGCTAGTTGGACATCGGACATCTCGCGCTTCAAAGAAAATATGATGGATAGCATTCACGCGAAACCTCGACCTCGAATTGGCTTACGCTACTCAAGTGAACGTTTGCTGATTTTTTACACTATAGACGATCTTGATGCCTAGCTTCTGCGATGTGCTGTGAAGGGTTTTCCCCAGAATCATGTTCATAGGAAAGCACAAATAAACCAGTCATCCACCCTTGAGCCATCACAGACTCAAGTGTGAAGCGTTATGTGCTTATAGGCCACTTACAAGGTTATGTTTACGCTTTCTGAGCGAAAAGAACATATACAAACTCCGCATCGAAACGGTAATGACAGCAGCGGCGATGCCGACACGTGGAGCTCAGTGGCCAAAGGCAACCGTCATCCGCAGCTGCTGAGCAATAAAGCGGCCGTCGCGCCGACTCCAAAACCCCGCTCTGGCCAATCTGATCTGTGAGCCGTTATTCTTGGAGCAATTACCCGGCGAGAGTAGCCTTGGTTTTGTGGCGAGCGCGGCCAAAACAAGCCATGCCGGGACAGCCGTGTTATGTCGGTGCGATCGGCCTGACCAGGGACTTTGGCATTGTCCGCACGACCGGCGGCCGGCCGCAGCCGCCCCTCCCCCGCGCTACCCCGCCGGGCCAACGCAAACACGGCCCATCCGCCCAGCCCGCGGCCAGGCAGAAGTTCGAGCCCCCGGCCGCGGGGCAGGCGTAATTTTCCGACGTATGTGGCGGCCAAGATCGTTAGAGGGGTTAAATCGGGACTGTACGGCGCTGTGAGACCCGCCCGAGCACAAACGGGGACCGGTGTTCGGGGCCGGAGTGGTTGCGGTGTGGTGGGACGGTGTTTCGGGACCGGGGTGGTGGGATGGGCGGTGGGACCGTGGTTCTGGACCGGAGTGGCAGTGGGAACCGTGTCCTGGACCGGGGTAGCGGGGTGGCGGTTGGACCGTAATTCGGGACCGGGCGGCGGGGTGGCAGTCGGACCGTGTTCGGGACCGGGGTGGAGGGGTAGCGGTCGGACCGTGTTCGGGATAGGGATGGTGGGTGGCGGTGTGGTGGCGGGCTTCACACTCAGCGGAACTATTGGAAACGCTGGATACAGTCGATGCGCGAGCTGATGGTGGAATGACGCGCGTCGTGGCCAGCGCTTCAAGCGCCAGTGATCAACTGTGGCTTCAGTGATACCGGTGGGTAACATTCCTCAATTGGCCTTATTGAATCAATTTTCACCGTCGCAATGGTCGTAGAACAGAAACTCACCGTTACGATAATCGTAGCTAAGATATTTTTTAGCTCTTTCAAAAAAGCGAGAGCGGGTTATTTTCAATTGATAATCGATCTGTTTCACAAACGCTGACATATTTTATAGTAGCAGATGTGATTTACATTTCCTTTCCGTGAGTGGCGAAAGGCGACAACATCGCTTTCATCCGACGGCTATCGCTGGAATGCGGGGAACGACAGTGAGAATGGAGGGTCTAGTGGTGCAGTGGCGCTTGACCTACAGGAGAGAGGGGCCAGGGGAGCCGACCAGAATAGGGTTTGTAAAAACATAGTTTTGCTTTGTGCTCCCGCATAGCCAACACGACGACACATCACGGAAAAATCAGCACGATATCGGATATCACAGCAATTAAAAGTCACCGCTCAGCCTTGCCGCGTGGCTCATCGAACAGCTAACCAGCCATGGCAGTACGACGCAATATGCCCATCACATCCACAGCTCCAGCTGCTGCCAACTAAAGCGTCAGCCAACCCGCCGTGACCACGGACGAACATCCCGATCCAACGCTCTGTCCAGATCCCCGAACACATCCCGCCGGCCCGCTGAGCTCAGACAGCCCGCCGGCCGAATCAGCAGCGCAGCGCCGCCACCCACCTCGCCGACATGGCGGCCGCCGCGATATTTACCTCACCAATATGGCCGACATCAAGCTGCCCTGCTGGGCGAGTACACCAGCCAGCATCGCGCCCGTTAGCGCGGCGGCCCTCCGTCCAACGCGGCGGCGGCACACACGTTCGCGCGCGCGCGCGCGCGACGGCCGCCTGCCTTACTTGTATCGGCCACCGGTCTGGTTGCGGCCGGCGCCCATGCCGGCCGGGTCACCGCTGGCCCGCCGCCGTCACGGGAATGCGGCCGGCCCGCCGGCGCGCCCCTGGCCATTGATCAGGCGCGTGCCCGGCGCCCTTCTGGGACCGTTACTTAGGGACGCCGCCCCTCCCCAGGTCCCCAATCAATGGGCGCAGGGCGCGGCGGCCGGCCCGACCCGACGCGACCCCACACTTGGGGGTACGCGCGCGGCGCACGGTGGAGCACGCTGGTGGGACAGGTAGACGGGAGATGGCGCAGACAGGCCGCAGGCTTGGAAGGCCAATACGTCATCGGGGTTGCTTGACAGCGCCGCCCACAGCGTAAGAACCGTGACGACATCACACAGGCGTGCGTGCGTGCGTGCGTGCCTGCCTGCGTGCGTGCGTGCGTGCGTGCGTGCGTGCGTGCGTGCGTGCGTGGTGTGTGTGTGTGTATGTGTGTGTGTGTGTGTGTGTGTGTGTGTGTGTGTGGTGTGTGTGTGTGTGTGTGTGTGTGTGTGTGTGTGTGTGTGTGTGTGTGTGTTTTCTAAGAAAATTACGACAGGTTTGATGATATAGTCTTCTTGTGCGACCTTTCATCGGCTCGTATATTTTACCTACCTTTACCACTGATTTCAGTGATTCGTTTTAAAAATAGCAAGGGTATGCTTACACTTAATTACTTCGCGTCCGGCACTGAGTGATAAGGAGGACTTTCTGATCAGTGGGGTGGCAATATATAAGACGAAAAATAGTTCAGATTCGCAATGCAAGTCAGGAAAGGCATGTTTGACACGATGAAAAATATTTTACGCTTTAGTTTATTGAGCTTTAAAATCAACTGATTGCAACAGACTGATTGCGGTTGGGTGATAAATGAACTGATTGATTGCGAAACGTAGCAAGCATCCTGTTCGAACACGGCACATCATAGTTACACGATCAGCAATTGATCAATGAAAAGTCTTGCGGTTTTTTCTCTTTTACCACTCATATATAGAAAGATTCCGTTTAGTTTTGCACGTCGCTCTGCTAGCGAAAACAAAAGCCATAGCTGATCTTTGCGTAGAAACAGAAAGCGCGTACACAAAACATTCGGGCCAAGCAATGGAACAATTGGGTAACAAAAGGCAAATTAATACATTGGTGGAACGATCGGTTGCATGAATGTAGCACACATATTTTACCACAGTGACTCGAAATTGCAAAGCACCGAGTGAAAGTGTTGAACGTGTATTGAATTGTCTGAGAGCGTAAAACTTGCAACGGCGTTTTGCGATCGAGTGAATTTACAACGTCCCTTCCTTCATGACACTTAACCGAAGTACTACCGCAGCGTACGTACCATTTCATACCTGACAGAAACAAGAGAGTATATTAGCAGGCAATACGCAACATTCCAGCAGACAATCGCCGTATCTGTTTGAGAACAGCGTGTCCAATGGATTGTTTGACGGCCCGGCTGGTGGTCGCCGGTGTGAAATCCTCAACTCTGCTTTAGCTACACTGTCATTATGACTTCATGATGTGTCTTAATGGCTTAATGGTGTGCCATATGACGAAACATCGACAATATCAGTAACTATCGTCGCCATGCCACCTGAAAAACTCAGCGACGAAGCGAGCCGAAGCAGGTTATGTTCTTTTCTTGACCTCGGAAAGAAAGGCCATGGACTCCTGGCTTTTCGGCAGGATGAGTTTAAAGTTCTTATGTTGAGGTTGCGATCTTTAATATAACAGAATGTGCTGGTTAAGCAATACTGCAGTACTAAACAACGGTTCTATTGACGGGACTTAATATTTTCAGCTGTGTTTATTTTAAAGAATGAATTTCTCACGTCCTCATCTAATTGAGCTTTGCTTTTAAGGATGAACATTGCCCGAATAGAGTTTCGTCAATTCAATGGTTACTTAGTACTACAACGTCGTTTAACCAGCATCCCCTGGTATATTGAGGGTCGCTTACCCACCTTCAGAGTTGTGAGCTAATAATTTCTTTAATTTCATCATTTCGTCCTCAGGATCATTTACAAGCCCAAGTGTGTGTGTGTGTGTGTGTGTGTGTGTGTGTGTGTGTGTGTGTGTGTGTGTGTGTGTGTGTGTGTGTGTGTGTGTGTGTGTGTGTGTGTGTGTGTGTGTGTGTGTGTGTGTGTGTGTGTGTGTGTGTGTGTGTGTGTGTGTGTGTGTGTGTGTGTGTGTGTGTGTGTGTGTGTGTGTGTGTGTGTGTGTGTGTGTGTGTGTGTGTGTGTGTGTGTATGTGTATATGCATGCATGTCAGTTATGCAAGTTTATCACACATCCAAAACGTAATTTGTATTGAAGCATTCATTATTTGCTACTCGGGCTGAATCGAGCACTGTGAAGCATCCTTTTCTTACTGCAATGAGACTCATCAGGAATTTAATACCTTTACTTCAGCAGCAACGCCTTTTGGGACATGGGGCGATAGGGCTGATCGACACGTGCGCGTGCTCATTACGTAGACGATACCAGAGCCTTGGCGAATAGTGTCATACGCATTTACTAGCCCATACAAATGGGTTTAAACAGCACATTGGAACGCTCAAATTATTGCTCCAAAATCATCATGGAGCTTGAAGATTGACTTAACATGTGCTCTATCCATTTTTGGTAGCTTGAGTCAAAGGACTTTATGAATTTAGAACACTAGAGACTGTGACGAGACCATTACGAAAACGGTAAATTATTTGTGAATACATTGGTCAAGAGGAACATAGCTACAGGCCAAATCGCCCTTAGTTTTCACGACTAAGCCTCTCGGCTTAAGTCACAGCGCATTCAAACTCTCTTCATGTGAAGAGTTTTGTGAACACAAACTCACATTCAAAAACGACTTCGACAAGGCCGATATTGATCGCTTTCCGGTCAATTGCTGGCGTACCTGTGGGTGCACCAAAGTGCTGGATCGCTTCGAGACTCGAAAACGGTGAGCACCCCTATACCGTGTAGTTGGAGTCGCGCCTTAATCTGAACTGGTTGCTAATATCTGCTATCTGTCTTTAAAAACTCCCTAAAACGAGCGAACCAATGGCTTGTGCTCGAGCGCGCGTGATGCATCGAATGCTCTCAGCAGTACTTTTGCCTGTAATTGGTCTGGTGCGACTGCAACGACGTGCCGTCTGGATCTGGATACGGTTCCAAATTACATAGCGCAGCTTCAGTCCTGTGGTCTCCACGGCAAGGCGCGGGCGAACCTCGGTCTCCTCCGATCGCCGGCGGCTTAAGGCGCTGACCTGTGAGGGTCACACCGCGCTGGTCTGCAAAGGTCACATCGCGTTGACCTGTGAGAATCACACCACGCAAGCTTGCCAAGGTCTCACTGCGCTGACCTGTGAAGGTCACACTGTGGCGAACGCTGCCCCACCGGGTTACCGGCGCTGTTTTGGACGCTTGTGCAGCAGCGCTGACAACGGCAGCGTTCGTTTCGCCAGGTTACAGTGTGTCCTGACAAAACATGCGAGGTCATGGCTGGTTCACTTCCCACTGCAGGTCAAACGTGCCTCCGGGCATGAGTCATAGTGCGATGCAGCCAGACGGGGCCAGCATGATACCTGACAGAAGGCAGCGAGAGACCCAGCGAGAGGCGCCCGCCAGACGGCATCGATCTGTTTGCTGTTTCGTGTTTTTCTGTTTTCATGTTTCCTGTCATCGATCCGTCAGCTGTTTCCTTGATTCCACTTCAGCAGACCGATTGCAGCTCGAATTGACGACTTACGGAACTGATCTATCTCCGACTCAAATTCACGACTACGGAACTGATCCATCTCCGACTCAAATTCACGACTTACGGAACCGATCTATCTCCGACTCAAGTTCACGACTTACGAACTGATCTATCTCCGACTCCAATTCACGACTTACTGGAAGTGATCTTTCTCCGATTCAAATTCACGACTTATGGAACTGATCTATCTCCGACTCAAATTCACGACTTATGCAACTGACCTAACTCCGACTCAAATTCACGACTAATGGAACTGATCTATCTCCGACTCAAATGCACGACTTATGGAACTGATCTATCTCCGACTCAAATGCACGACTTATGGAACTGACCTAACTCCAACTCCGGGCAACAAAGCCCTTTGACATGACTTCGATTCAGACTCAGAGAGAAAGGGGTCGATTTCGTATCTCGTCGACTTCGACGAGATGCACTCCTGTGAGATGAGTGAAGGCAGAAAAGGAGATTATCCGTCCAACACACTTCATAAAGAGCTTCGTGAACAACACAACTACATTCTGACTGGTCCCTTTATGCTATTTATCTAACCTGGCATGCTATTCATGCATGCTGCTACCTATGTTTCGATTTAAGTCAATGCACAAATGACTCGGTAGACTGGACTCCGACTCCAACTCGCAACGGAATTCCAAGGAGTTATTTCACTATGACAGGGTAAAAAAGGCATTGAATTCGGCGTGGATTCCAACTCTGATCGGACTTGGGTGAAAGTCTGGTGACCAGGCACCATGCATTTGTTCAGAGAATCGCATCTCTCGTTGCTGAAAATTGCATGCAAGACATCTGTTTGGCTGTAAGGCATGTAGCGATCAGTGGCTGCATAAGCTTCAAAAGAACGCGACGGTTGAGACAGGCTTGCTGTCTCAGAAGAAAAATGCTCCCACGTTCACACTTGGCCCGCAGCCAGGCTAGAAATTAACATTATCTCACCACCTCGGGCGTTTTGGACAGCATCGCAAGGAATGGGCTGGAATACCACGCGGTCACAAGTCTGCATGCAACTGCAGCCGCTCTCGGTCACTGCAACCACATGGCAAACGCTGCCGCTCTCCATAATCCTAAAAGGATACTTTCATAGGATCTGATACGGACACCGAACCCAGACATATTCAGACGTCTTGAACACCAACAAAGAGCCGACGAGGTCTTGCTGACAGCAGCACTGGCGTCGGGTTTTCGGTCATGCAGGCCAATATTTCCGGGCACCAGCGACCTTCCCGCTCAGAATCTGCTCCAGTGTTTCGGGGAGCGATTCGGCACTGGTATACAATCGTGCTGGTG